CACACACACACACACACACACACACACACACACACACACACACACACGTATATGATTTATTGCGAAATAAAAAACTTGGAATATGTTATACGTACGTACCTGTAGGTAGGCTAATGCATGACATATTCCAAATATTTTATGCACTGTAAAGGTTTACTTTTATAATGCAGTATACAGTATAGTAGTGGTTTTTTTTTTGGCAATAATAAAAAAATWAACCTGCCTTCCAGACTGGAATTAAAGAAAAAAACAGGAGATGTGATTCCAACTTTACTTGAGTCAGTATTTCTTTGCATTTTTTTATTTCCTTTAAGAAAATACACATTTCCCAATGCACTGGTTCATTATTATGGTTTAATGTTGGGTGTACATTTCTAACTTTATTTTTTCAGACTGACCCACCGGGCTGCAGTGTGTCAGAGGAGCCACCGGGTGGCGCTGTGGTYACAACCCGCCTGATGATGGAGCACTGAAGGAGAGCAGCTTCATTTTGATTGGAGCAAAGATTCAATCAACAAAGAAAGATGGCCGAAGTGTTGGAGTTGCAGAAACTGAAGGTTTGTAGCGCTGTTAAATAATATCCTTTTCTTTTTATCTTTCGGATTTAGTTATTTAGTTGTAATGAACGGGTTGTAGATGCTGTTAGTCACAAAGCGGGCTGAACGGAAGTGTTTGAAGAAACKAAACTAATCCTCCGACAGTGAAGGCAGGAACCGGCGGGTCAACGGAAGCTAACGCACACATGTAACYAAATATATTTCGACAGAACATGTACCTTTAGCCAAGCTGGGACGAATAAAAATAAAAATATATGGATATTTGAAATGGCCAGTGTCAAATCCCCTAACATTTCTCCTATTGAAGAGCGCTTGTTTTAGCCAAACATTAGCTCTTAAAGCTAATGTGTTGATAATTTAACACACACTCAGAGCCACAAGGTGAAGGTTTTTCACCAGGTTTACATATCCAACTGTTTTCTTATCTCCAATATCTTCAAATATAGTTTCAGTTTATATAGACTTTATTATCTCAGACAAAGAATTGTCCATAAAGTTTATTTACTGAGTAACTTTGTTTTGGTTTGTTTGTTTGTTTGTCAGCTTGCTGAGCTGAGGCAGGAGTGTGATGTCCGAGGTCTGGAAACTAAAGGAAACAAAGGAGAGCTCATCGCCAGACTCCATGCCTACCTGGAAGAACACGGTGAAGGTAAAAAAAAATAAAACTTTCAGAAGTGGTTTGAATCTGCTAAAGATTTTATTTATTTATTTATTTATTTATTTATTTATTTATTTATTTATTGCCACAGTGAACACAAACATAAGCCCTATTCTGACGGGATAAGAATTATCTGGGGACCCCATGTAATAAATAAATTACCCCCCAACGTCTGTGTTTTATGTGGCACATTTGCACGGGATAACCAAAGCCTGAGATTCTCCTGAAATTTACAGACATCTCCCGAATGTGATATTGAAGCCTGGTTAGTTGTTGTCTATTTAGTTGAACACGGCGTTGAACGGACATTAAAAAAACAAACAGTAAACATCAAGTTATCCACTTTTTCCACTCTCCTTTCCTCCTGCTTACAGCAGGCGCTGTCATCTCCACAGCCGACAGACCCCCACCCCCACGCGCGGGTATGAGTGGTACGGATTTTTAGCAAAAATTATAGATTTTTGAGGCTCATTAGGKAAACGTCCAAAGGGGTTGACATCTATGAACACCTTCACTGCTGGCGAGGGTGCACACGCCCGGCGCGATAAGCATRAGCCTGCGCTGCACTACGGCCACAACTCAACACTCAGCATCAGCCAGAAGGCTATAAACAGAAAAAATAATTATTCTTACCATACAGTGAGCCACTATTTGCATCTGATTTTGCTCCCTCTCTTCAGCCTTTTTTATTTTATTATTATTTTTTTTTATTATTTAATGTGTTGGGTTTTTCCAGCTCAGGATCCAAAAAGGTTTCCAGTGCACTCCAATCCAGCCTCCATTCTTCACCAAAAGTAAATAAAMATGCACCAAGGAAACCAAAACCGTCTTATTACATGTGGGATTCAGCCCATTCCTGTCCAAATCACAGAGATGCCTGTTCACATTGGATTAGTATTTTCACAGGACCTCTGAGTTCAGCGAAATATGGTAGGTAATTTGCGGAGGAATTTTTACTTTACAAATTACGGACATGGCCGATTCTCACGGGATTAACAACACAGACAATCTCTGTAATTATTACAAATAGCATGGGGTCCCCAGGTAAAACTAATCCTGTCAGAATAGGGCTTTAGTGACATGTTAGCAACTCCTCCCATATTCCAGGGGACAACTCATCAAAACAGTAAAATAAATGTAGGAACTTTGATAACATTTTCAGTTATTTAATAGCTGCTTTTTTCTCTTTTTACTTGAAACAATTCATGCAGTGATTCTAAAACAGTTTAGTTTTTTTTTATTAGACCACACATTAAGGATGTAGAGGTCATCAAAGGTTGAACCTTAGAAAGCTAGTCCTACATTACTCAGTTTAAAACAGCAGCTGCAGCCCGTTCAACGTGTCTGCCTTCATGAATATGCAGATCATATGATGATTACCAGATCACATAAAATACTGTGGAGGATATGCAGATATGATCATTTTACAACCGTTTGATTTATCAAACCTTAAAACTGGTTGCTCTGCTGTTTCAATATTACTMCGTTTGAAAGGGAGGTGTAAACTGGCTGTCCAGCTTCAGATACACTTTATCCTCTCTGCTGTGCAGTGTGACAATATCACACTTCARTATAGATAAAAGAGCCTCTAACTGCAGCTCAGAAGCTTAGGAAASGTTAGCCAACTCTTGCAGAGATGACAGCTTTTGCAGGGAGTGGACACAGTGGAGGCAGCCTGCTGACTCTGAGACAAATTCATTTAAAGGAAAGTTTTAAAAAAACAATCTGTAATGCTGCGTTCACACCAAACACGATTTCAGCATCAGGAGCATCAGGGCATCATGAAAAGTCTATGGTGGACGCGCTTCAAACGGCGTCAGGAAGTGCTGCGGCGCCTCAAGCGTGATTAGAGCAGCGTGATTTGAACGATCTGAGCG